AAGTGATGTTTAGGTGTAGCCAAAAAGAGAATCAGAAAATGTCAGAACTCTAGAACAAGTCAGCATTCACCTTTTATAAATAGGGTACCTGAAGTTTCCAGGACACAGCCACCCCCTTAGTCTTCCTGGAGACTGCCACTTCTCAGTCTCCACTGCTGATTCCTTATTTTTTCTTAGTCTCTTACTGTTTGAATGCTCCAGAACTCAAGTCTATGAACTGCATTTTTCTCTATCAGTTAGTGATCTCATAGTCTTATGACATAAAAAAATTAAATGTTATTGACAGCTCAGACCTCTTTCAGCTCTAAACTTCTATATCTGAATGATTATGATATTCCTATGTGGTTATCTAATGAACATCTCAAACTCAAACATGTCCCAAATCAAAAGTTTTCATCTCCTCCCATCTGTTCTTTACTGTTATCTCAGTTAATATCAACACCATCTTTTGAGTTGCCAGACTAACTAGTGACCACGTTGTCACCTAACATTTTCTCACACCTCACACTGAAACCATTCTACGGCTTAAACTCCAATATATAGCCCAGTACTTTTCCTTTACATTCTCATCATCCTAAACTAACACTCAATCACCTCTGTCTTAAATTAATTTTCTCATTGCTGAGACAGAGGAAAGATTTATTTTGGCTCAGTTTGTAGCAATTTCAGTCCATAGTCAGCTGGCTCCAAGGTAGGTGGCACAGCAGAGGGGCATCACAGAGGAGAAAGTCCATGGCAAAACAAAACAGAGGGCAGCCAGCAGTGAAAGCAGCAGCTCTTTTTGCCCCTTGTATTCTATTCAGGCTACATGTCGTTAGGGCAGGTAGCACCCACACCCAGGGTAGGCCTTCCCATTATCCACATTAAGAACTATGCCAAACCAATCAGTGGAGTAATTTAGTAATCACACATCCTAGATCCAGCCACCTCTGCAAAGCCTCATCTATGACCAACTGAGGCTTTGAGGGGTACATCTGGACACAAGCCGTAACAATCTCCCATATGGATTATTACAATAGCTTCTGATATCGTAATTTTGCCCTTGGTTACTTGTCTCAAGACAGCAGCTAGAATAATCCTGGATTTATTAAGGTATAAATTACTCTATTCAAAATGTATTAATGCCAGGTGTGGTGGTGCATGCCTGTAATCCCAGTACTCAGAGGCTGAGGCAGGAGGATCGCCATGAGTTCAAGACCAGCCTGGGCTATAAAAGCGAGTTTAAGGCCAGCCTGCACAACATAGCAAAACCCTGTCTCAAAAAAAATCTATTAATGGCTTCCTATTCCAAAATAAAACCCAAATCATTACAATTGTCCATAAACCTGTACACTGCACAGACCACATGACTTCCCAGGCCCAATCTGTCTGTCAGCCCCTACCCTCCAAATCTACTATAGCCCTATCAGTCTTATTGCTCCTTAAGGCATGAGCTTCTTTCTCTTCTTTCTTATGATGGCTGTACATTTTTAATAGATTAAGGAAGCTTTCTTCATATTATTAGTTTAAATGTTCAAAAATTGATGAGATTCATGTACCATAAAATCACCTTGAAGCAAACAATTCAGTGCCAGTTAATATTTAAAATATTGTGCAACCATCTGTATCTAGTTCCAAAACATTTTCATCACTTCACAATAAAATCCTATACCCATTAGGAAGGTGTATACCATTCCCTCTCCTCAAAGCTGCTAGAAACAACTCATCTGCCTTTTAACAATTTGCCTATTCTGGATATCTCATATAAATGGAATCATATGATGTGTCCTTTTGTGACTTTTAACTTCACTTAGCATGTTTAAGAGGTCCACATGTTATATGTAGCACGTATCAGTCAGTAGTCCGTTCCTTTTTATGGCTGAGTAATATTCCACTGGGTATACCATAACATATTCCTTTCTGTTAATGACATTTGAACTGTTTCTATTTTTCAGCTATTTTCAATAGTGCTGCTATGAGCAGGTACAAGTATGTGAATCTCTGCTTTGAATTCTTTTGGGTATGTACCCAGGAGTGAATTATTAGGTCATATGGTAATTCTTTATATAACATTTTGAATAATGCCAAACTTTTTTACGATGGTTGAATCTTTTTTTTTTTTTTTTTTTTTGGTTTTTCTCCGGTACCGGGAACCGAACTCATGACCTTGCGCTTGCCAGGCAGGCGCTTTTGCCACTGATCTAAATCCCCAGCCCTGGTTGAATCATTTTACGTTTTCACTAGCAGTGTATGACACTTCAGATTTTCACCGTGGTAGCTTCTGTATTTGTTGCCTTTTTCTGGAAAGCTGTGATAGATACCCAAGTGGCTCATTTTCTCCTCTCCTTCAGATCTTTACTCAAGTGCCATCTTCTCAGCAAGGCCTACCTTGACGAACAAATTTAAAATTGCAACCTCTCAATCCCCAATTTGTACTTGCTATCCTCCTTCACTGTTTTTTCTGTAGATCACTATCTAACATACTATGCAATTTTCTCATTTTCTACTGTCCGTTTCCCACCACTGAAACAAAAGCTCCATGAGGGGAGAGATTTTTATCTGTATTTCAAAACCTTGAAGAGGAGCAGGTACATAGTAGGTGCTCAGTAATTATTTACTGAACAAGTGAGGTCAAAGAGGTGTTCTGTCAGTGTATGAAGGGCAAGAAGAATCTAAGTCTCTGTAGTTCAGTAGTTATTTTTCTAATAATGATGACGGACTAGAACTGAGCCAATCATAGCTTCTTTCAGCTGAAGCAAAAAGCCATAAATATTTAGGAGATGGCTATTTCTGAATCAGATGAAAGAACTACTTATAATAGCTTGAAGGTAGAAGGATCAGAGTGATAAGCTAAAACTACTAACTTGCCTACAATAACAAAACGTAGTACTGCCTGCCTGAAATGTTTTACACAATGTAAAATAAAAATGATACTACAGGACAAAGAACAGTGATGGTAAACCCTCAGGAGTTTTCAATGATAAACACCTGGCTGTGGCATGCATGCCACAGGTTCAGCACCACAAACATAGAACCACAAACACCACAAATGCCACAGGTTCAGCACCACAAACAAAGAGTATCACTGTTTAAGAAAAATAACCTGATACATGCTGGACATGGTGGCACAAGCCTGCAATACCAGAACTCTGGAAAGTGATGCAGGAGCATCATCATGAGTGTGAGGCCAGTCTGGGCTACATAGTGAGTTCAAGGCCAGCCTGGACTACATAGTGAGACACTGTCTCACAAACAAACACTCAAAACCCCGAGACACCCTGTAACAATCCTATGGAAGAACTGAAGACTGTGGCCTTACCTAAAATATTGCCCTAACAAGAATGTTTCTCTTTTTTGTTTTTATATTTTGGTATTTGTGATTGAATGCAGGGGACAATGAACCACAATCCCAGCCCTTTTGTTTTTTTTGAGATGGTGGCTCACCATGTAGTTCAAACTGGCCTCAGACTTGCCAATATCTTTCTGCCTTAGACTTCCAAGTGCTGGGATTATAGCCATGCATCATCATGCCTGGCCCCAGCACTTTTTTGAGGAAGTCTTGCTGAATTCCCCAAGCTAGGCTTGAACTCACAATCCTGCCTCAATTTCTGGAGCACTAGGATTATAGGTATATGACATCTCTCACTATGTTGCCCAGGCTAGCCTCAAACTCACCATTTTGCCTCAGCCTTCTGAGGTTTGTGCTGCAACACTCAACTCTTGTTTTTTATTATTTCTGAACACTGAGAGAAGCAGTGAAAATATACATAAATAAAAAAATTTATGTTTAAAAAGCTAAAAAGCAGTTGGGTGTGGCGGTGCACACCAATAATCCATGCATTTGTGAGGCTGAGGCAGGAGGATTGCCTCAAGTTGGTAGCCAACCTGGGCTATATAGCTACTGTCTCAAAAAACAAACAAAAAATGCAGAGAAGCTATTTCTAGGAAAAAGCCTGAAACATTAAAAAACAAAACAAAAAAACGGATGCCATTAATGCTGTTATACACCCAAAAATGGATAAAATGGCACATTTTATGTTATATATACTTTGCAACAATAAAAAGTTTAAAAATTAAGTAAAAAGATGACAACTAACAACACATCTTAAAGCATAGGTATGGGAATAAAGAGTAGTGTATCACCAACTCCACTACTATAAAACAAGCCACTTTCTAAGTATTATTATAATTATTATTATTTTTTCAGTACCAGGAATCAAACTCAGGACCTTGTGCTTACCAGGCAGGCATTGTACCGGTTATTTTGGAAAATCATTTATAGCAGAAATCAGTCTGCAAAATTCAAACTAATGGATTTAACTCTTGACGATAAAGTATACTTCTTGAAAGAAGTATACTATAGGAGAAGTGACTACTGAAACTTGTTTTCAATGTTTCAAAGTACATTTGTGAAGTTCTGATTTATTTTTTTTTTTTTTCCCCAGTACCGGGAATCAAACTCACAACCTCACACTTGCCAGGCAGGTGCTGTGCCGCTGAGCTAAATCCCTAGCCCCAAAGTTCTAATTTGAATTGACTAATTTTGTTCTTTTGAGTCAGGGTCTCACTATACAGTTTAGGGTGGACGTGAATTCTATGTAGCCCAGACTGGCCTCAAACGTAGGGTGATCCTACTGCATTAGCCTCTCGAGTGCTAGGATTACAGGCTGACACCACTATGTTCAGCTAAGTTTTGATGTTAAAGTAAAAACAAAAAAACAAAAACCACTCGTGACTGAGTCAAACAACTTTAGAGCATTCTTACCTTCACGGTTATTAAAATTATAAAGGGGGCTTATAAAGGGGGCTTTTGCTAGCTTTTAAAGTATAAAAAATTAGTACAGAATGAGCTTTTAACTATCCTAGAGGAAAAAGTGCAAGATATATTCAATAGATAGAATTCTCAGTCTGCAGGCCGATCAATTAGGCCTCCATGTGAGAAACAAAGTAATGCTTTGAGTTGTATGGTACAATCTACAGCTTTTATGTGAAGTTATTTATTAGAAATAATTGACAAGGCCTTTAACAATACAACTTTTATTAAAAAAATAAGTAACATCAAAACTGTTCAGTAAATCTATATTCAATGTAACCAAAATAAACAAACACCAAATTAAAAAAAATATACATCTATATATATGCGCAAGAAACAAGTGCATTTTTTGGTCCCAGTATTTTTGAATATATTATCTTTATCCAAAGGAGTTACATTAATGGCTAAGAAGATATTATTTACTAGGCAAACAAAAAGGTAACCTTAAGACTTATGTTAAGGTCTGTAAAAGGCATTTTCGCCAATTCTTTATATCAAACCACAATCCCTAAGATGTTAAAGATAGTTCCAACAGAGACAGAATAGGTAATGTTTAATAATCTGAACAAGTACTAAATTGCGAAGCTACCAGTAGGTAGCTACATGAAGTTTGTGAAGAATTTTAAAGAAATTTCTTATAGTTCTCAACAAAAACAAAACAAACACAAAACAAATGCTTTAAAGAGAACAGTACAAAAGTAGAAAATAAAATGAACACCCATAAATTGGATGAAGAACAACATAAAACCAAGCTACCAGAACTTAATGAAATTTTTTAAAAATTCAAAAAACCTAAATATTAGTATTACTGAAAACTCCTAGAATACTGGCTAAAACTTTAAATGACAATATGAGTAAGCGTTACTTTGGAACTGTAATTTTAGAAAGTTTGTTTTTCCAAGAACATGAAGTAATCTTGGTATCCTACATGACCAGAATTTTTATACTTCTTAGACTGCGCACATACTACAGGAAGATTAAAGAGCAGCAGCCAAAATGGTTGAACTTCAACTCAGCTGTTGAAGCAATGAGTTGATGGGCTTTTCTTGGTACGAATCAACCCATAAGCTTAAGATCAAGGGCTGGGGATATAGCTCAGTGGCACAAGCGCCTGCGTGGCGAGTGCAAGGTCCTGAGTTTGATTCCCGGTAGCCCCCCCCCCAACAAAAAAACCTTAAGATCAAGAACCCAAAGCCCCAGAAAAAAGTTGTGCTCGATTTGGTGGGCCTTCAGGTCATTTCTGGCCAAATTAGCATCAGCCGTAAGAGAGGCCAGTGAGATAGGAAGGGGCTCTCCCCAAGATCTGATTTCTTAAGGCCACAAACTAGAAGAGGTCTCACAGTCAAATAATTCACATTCCTTGGAAAGAGAGAACAGGCATCAGTTGTGTCCATCGAATGGGGACACTGTCCAGGAGTACACTGGACATTTTTTGAAACTTCTGTGTTGCTTCTGCATCTCAAAAATACGAAAAATAGAATAATGACAGACAAGGAATGAGGGGAAAAAACAGCTATCTGACCTAAAAATGTAAGACTTATAAGAAATTAAGAAAGCAGACAAAACAGACAATAACAGATGAACAGCCATGTCATTTGGAATGTAATATTCTGAAGGCAAGAAAGTACAGCACAGAAAAATTATTTTAAGCAAAGCAAGAAAAGACCATAGCAACAAAAGGTATTTCTGGAAAGCCAATGGGAGAAAAGAAAAAAAAAATGTTAAGATATGTTAACCTGACACAAAGATAAGGTGGAAAAAGAATCTCGTGTCATCTGAAAGCTGAAAAGAGCTGAATGAGAGCTAGTGTCATGAACTTTGTTAACCGCCTTCATGTGAGAAAACACTTCAGAACACTGAAATTTAGCAAACTGCCGTTGTGTAAGAAAACACTTTAGAACTTTGAACTTAGGAAATTCCAACTTGTCTTGGTTGTCTTGTCAGGTTGCACGAGCTCCATAGAGCAGGAATCTATTTCAACAAGCAGCTTTAAAAACAAAAACAAAAACACTTTAATATTTTTCATTTCTATTAATGATACATTAAAAAACTGCAACAGTGCTAAAATCCATCAAAGTAAAATGCACTGAATGAAAAACTTACTCAGAGAAGTGTGTTCAGAAGTTGAGGTACTTTCGGAAACTGTAATCAGAAGAAGGGTTTTACATTTAAAACAGCATATGTGAAGTGAGACTACCGATTTAAATACATAAAAGCTTATACTGTGATAAAAAATAGTGAAATAAATATCAAATTCAAAGTAACATAAATATATACACATACCATTCTCTATTACAACTTGGCAAGTGTGAGTTTTACGTTGACTTAAGTGTTTAGCCATGCGGTCTACGCCAGAAGAATCAGTTAGGAAATCACACTTAAGGCACACTAGAGTAATGCCCCTGTTAAGAAAAGAAGTTAGTGAGAAGGACCTTATATTTTGTGGAAATCCACATACAAGTTCAGTAATTATTATTTTATGTAATAACTCTCAATTTTAATTTTGCATGCCACAACTATGAATTTTGTTTTTTTTATTTTTACTTTTTTTTTTTTTTTGTCTTTTTGAGATAGGGTATCACTATGCAGTTCAGGCTGGCCTTGAGCTCACTTTGTAGTCCAGGCTAGTCTCAATCTCGCAATGATCCTCCTGCCTCAGCCTCCTGAGTACTGGGATTAAAGGCGTGTGCCACCACATTCGGCACAACTATCAATATTGTTCAACAAACTTGAGGTATCTAAAATGGTTCTCTAGAAAATGGTATAGTCAATTCTAAGTCATGCTAACATTTAGTGTCTTTTAAATTAGTCCCTTTCAACTTGTTGCTAAAAGCTTGGCATGGGGCTGGGGATTTAGCTCAGCAGCACCGCGCCTGCCTGGCAAGCACAAGGTCGTGAGTTCGATCCTCGGTACTGGAAAAAAAACAAAAAACAAAAAACAAACAAAAGCTTGGCATTCAAGAGACTTAAAGCATATCCTTGGCTCAACTAACAACTTGAATAACTTGTTCAAATCCTAATCTTTCCATTTTTTTGGCCTATTTGTAATGCAAGGATCTAACATTCACTCAAATATAGAAATGTAAATTTGCTGAGGACCTTCTTTAAACACTGTACTACTACTAGGTGTTGCGGATAAAACAGCAAACAAAAAAGGTACATGTAGCCTATAGTCTAGATATTATTTAAGTCAGGACAAAATTAATATACTTTTGAAGTTTATCAGGTAAGTATCTGAAACGGAAACATCTTACCTATACAGGAATAAAAACCTGTAGTATACCTTTGACTGAATTTTCTTCTGTAGCTCTCATCTTACAGCCCGTTGTATTTACACCAAGCTGTTATTCATCACATCAAGACTTATCTTCAGAGTAAGAATGAAACTGGGTGCTTTCATCTCAAAAAATTATGCCTCCTGTCTGGTCTTTCTCTCCCCTTCTCTCTTTTTTGATAGAGTCTCACCATGTAGTTTAAGCTGGCCTTAAACTCACTACATAGCCCAGGTCAGCCTCAAATTCATGGCAATCCTCCTACCTCAGTCTCCAAGTACTGGTATTGCAGGTGTGCACTACCACACCTGGTCAGGCTAAGTGTTTTAGACATATATCACCCAATCTAAATCTAACATGATTTTGATCTTATATTATATGAACTTTGTGTTGATCCTAAGTGTACTACTAGTTATTCATTGTAACTCAAAAGAATCTGTTGCTTTTTCTTTTCTGTACTTTTATGCATGCTATTTTCAACTAGAATTCCTGTCTCGTCTAACATGTAGAAATCTCTCTTCCCTTTGAAATTAGTAAATCTCACTGTACTTGTTACAAATCTCCATGTATTACTCCAATTACTTACGTTCACTTTAACATCCTGGCAATAAACTGTGCATTTCTTGAAGATTGGTACTAAGCTTTCATATGTATCACTATGAACTGTACAAGACCTGACATGATAACTGCACAATAAATAGCTAAAGAGTGACCATTTCATTTTAATAAAATAGTAATTACAAAAATATGGTTCTATAGAAATATGCTAAGTTCTACCTATAAGAAATGGATCAATTTTCTTTTTAGATTTGAGATTCACCCAAAATAAGGAAAAACCACCTGAAATATTTAAAATCATACAGTTAATTTAAAAAGCAAGGACACAACTGAGCTTGACAGGTAAAAATCAAATTAAAATCTCAACTTTAGAATTTAAAAATGTTTTTCAATAAACATTTAATATAGCTTATTTCTCCTATTCTCTAAATTTCAATAATGTTCTAAAAAATGGAATCAAACTTTCCTCTGCTTATGAGCAGTTTGTCTAATATCATCTGCATATATTGTCTTCAATATACACATTAACTTACTCAAATATTTACTGAATGCCTACTATGTGCCAGGCACTATTCAATGCCTGGCAAACATTTCACAATACGAGCAAAATAACTAAACCAAGGAAGATGCAGTCAAAAGGAATCAGAAGAATGTAAAATAATACATAATGCATAGTGGATTGTGAGTTAGATGTGTGGTGTAATGAAAGTTAATTATCAATACCCTTAGAAATATTAATCAACAATTTTTGTGAACAGTAAGTTATATACTTCACTTCATAAAGAAATAACTATGAAAGTATATTAAAGTACCACAGTGCATAAATAAACCTACTTCTTTTCAAATATTGTCTGAGAGCCTTATTTTTTGTTTTATTTAAAAAATTTTTCTTGAGACAGGGTCCTGCTATGTAGTTCGGTCTGGCCTTGAACACACTATGTAGCCCTGGCTGGCCTGGAACTCTTGAGATCCTCCCTCAGCCTCCCGAGTGCTGGGATTACAGGTGTGTACCACCATGCCAAGCATTATTTTTTGTTACTGTACAATACAAATACTTGAAAGTTTCATCTCAATGACTGGCACCACTGTCAACAAAATTTAGTCAGCAATGACTAAAGGATATAATGAATAGAACTTCATCATATCCAGTAACAATTATTCAGACTTCCAAATTAGGTACCCAAGTAGAAAGTTTTAAAAAGTTACTATAATTTTTCAGTACAAAGACCAGAAAAAGATCAACTAGTTACCTGAAAGCTCCCAACTGCTTCTTGAAAATATAAAACCGTTTATTTGGCTGGCTAGTATGACAGCTGGAGAGATAAAAGGCAAATAAGATTTTATGATACACAAAGTCATTTAGTTTCATGACTACATATCAACTCCAAGTTTAATCTTAGTTTTGAATAAAGACTGTGAATCTAAATAATAAAATTCTGCTTATCATTTGCTATGGTCAAACACTGTGTCCCCCCCATTCAAATTCATACGGTAAAATCCTAACCTCAAGGTGATGGTATTAGAAGGTAGAGCCTTTTGGGTTTTTGTGGAGTGACTATGTCATGAGGGTAAAAACCTTCATGAACGGGATTAGTGCCCTTCTAAGAGAGACCCTACAGAGCGAGAAGGCCCCTTCCACCATGTGAGGATGCAGTGATAAGGTGCTGACTCTCAGGAATTATCCCTCACCAGAGACTGTAACTGCTGGCACCTTGATCATGGACTTCTCAGCCTCTAGAACTGTGAGAAATAAATTTCTGTTGTTTAATAGCCACTCAAGCCTATGATATTTTACTACAGCAGCCCACATGGACTAAGACAGCCATTTCTGTTCAATTCTAGATTATTTTACAATCCATTTTACCTGTTGTAAAATGAATGACGTATTTCCCTGAAAACATTCTTAGATGTTCAGTAGTTCACCACTATAAAAGAATACTCAAAGAGCTAAAAATACAAACAGCAAATTAAACTTTTTCAACTATTAAAAGTAACACAAAAGATAGTTACTAATGTGTTTTGCTGTAACAAAAATTTCTATGAAAAATCATTAATTATTTTTTAATGTGAATAAACTTGGGAAGAGCAGATAAACTGAATGATCCCAGAAATGTTTCTTGAGCTCCATGCCATTCCTTAACATCAATAAAATAAAGCATTTAAAGAGTCTTTTGCAATTACTAGAAATTTAAAGAAAGTAAAAAGAAGCAGCAGAGCTCATGAGCTCAAATAATGCTTCTCTCATTCAAAGAACCAAAAACAATGCAAATTTTCTAGCCAATGGTAACAGTTTTTATACTCCCTTTTAAACTGATAAGGAAATCTCTATGTTAGAAAGCCAGGCAGGAGTAGCCCAGCACAGTATCATTAACACTGTGGTCCATGGACCAGAAGCATTAGCATTACCCAGGAGTTTACTAGAAATACAGTCTCACATTTCACTGCAAATTTACTGACTAAATCTCTGGCAATGGAGTCTAGAAATCAGTTTCAATAAATCTTTTAGCTGGCTCTTACCCAAGATAAAGTTTAAAAAGAAGTCTTTTTTTTAAAAGCTTTTTTGAGATAAGAGTCTCACTGTATAGCCCAGGCTGTCCTTAAACTTGTGGCAATCCACCTGCTTTAGCCTCCTGAGTGCTGGGATTACAATCCTGTACCACCACACCCAGTAAGAAATACTAGTCTTATTTTGCACTGATAGACCCAAACAAGCCAACACACATACCAGGTCAATGGTTAATCCCGGATACAAGGTAATCATCACGAGCATACTATGTTTTGCTTTATATCTAGATGTCCCTCCAAAGCCTCATGCACTTATAGGTGGGGCTTTTGGGAGGTGGCTGGATCACGGGTGTGTGATACTGCATCAGTCCACTGATGGGTTTATAACTGGGTGTAATGTAGGGAGGTGAAGCCTGGTGGGAAGAGGGTAACTGTGGACACGGCCTCTTATACATCTTTCCTTCTCCCCTGATGCTGCTCTGCTTCCTGACTGCCATGCCATGAACTTTCACCTCTGCCATGCTGTCCTGCCTTGGAGCATGCTGGTTATGGACTAAAACCTCTATAAACTGTGAACCAGAAACAAATCTCTCCTCCTTTAAATTGTGCGTGTTGAATACTGTGTCTCAGTGATGAGAAAGTAATTAAGGCAGATTTTGGTATCGGAGAAGTGGGTCACTGCTGTACTGCTACTTGACCACGTGGTTCAGAAGCTTTAGGAACTGGTTCATAGGAAGAGTTTGAAATGGTTTGGAAATGCAGGCTGGAGAAACAGCCCTAGAATGCTGTAAGGTGAGCTTGATGAGACATTATGCTCACAGCTCAGAAGCCCAGAATGCTGAGTAATGCAGCCCCTAAAGATAAGGCTCAGGAGGTTTCTGTTGGGAAGGACTCCAATGGCAAATGGACTCCAGGTCATGTGTTTGGCTCGAGCTAAAAATTTGTGTACATTTTGCCCATGTGCAGAGACATTTCTAGAGACAGATTAAAGGCAGTGGACTAATTAATCTTGTAGAAGAAATTTCAAGGCAGTCTAATGTTGAGGCACAGGCATGGCTACTGCTGAGGGCTTTTAGCCAGTTTTACTTTCAAAAACAAGAGCAAATGGCTCAGCACAATGATGTAAAAGTTGTGAGTTTGGCAAGAAAGGAAGCATTACAAAAATGGAGCAGAGAATCTGGGTGCTGAAAAGATTAGCATTGAAAAGTCAAGTACTTTGGAATAGGACAATAGAAAAGATGGCCTGAAGGCATCACTAGAAGCAGCAGGACTCTATCCTTTGCAGCCTCAAAATTGTAAAGGTTAGACTGTGCTTTGAGAAGAGAGCCCCAGGGCACCACAGTCCATAAAGGTGGGGGCCTAGGGAATTTCTTCCTCTGGATTGGGTTTTGTGTTCAGTAGCACTCAGCAATCCAGGAACTTGACCCCTACCCCTATGACCAAGACCAAAGGAGGCCTGGTTACAGCTCAAACTGGCCGCAAACAATGGCCACATCTACAAGGTGCTGGTTTTAAGGGAATTCATAATGCAAGAGCTGCAGAGTCATGGAGGCATCCATCCAGATTTCTGAAAGCAGTCTGGGAGGCTAGACAGTGTACCCGAGAGGGTGGTGTGTAAAGCTGTTGAGTGTGAACCTGAAAGTGGATACACCAAAAGGTTGGAAAAACCAGAACGTGGATCCTCTAAGGAAAGCTGCAATGAGTAAGGAAAGCTAGCCCAAGAAAGAGGCCATGAGGACCACTAGCAGTGTTGCAAGGGTGGGGCCACCCAAGCTCTTTGGTGTTCACATCTTGCCACAGATTGCCCTGATACTGGACATGGAATTGTATGAGGATTTAACGTTTACCCTGCTGCAGTTTGGCCTTGCTTTGGTACCATTCCTTTTTATCCCCCTACTGTACCTTTTGGAACTGGAGTATTTATCTTGTGCCATTGTATGTTGGAAGCATTTAACTTTTCTTTCCAGTTTTACAGGGGTTCGCAGCTAAGAGACTGCTTTACATTCCAGAGAATTTCAACTTCGACTTTTTGTAGCAATGCTGCAACTGTTAGCACTTTGGCAATCCTTAGAGATGAATTAAGTGCACTTTGCTTTAAGCACAGTGCATGAGTCTAATGGGAGCCAGGGGTAGAATGATATGGCTTATATCTAGATGTCCCCAAAGGCTCATGCCCTCATAGAGGAGGCTTTTGGTAGCTGACTGCATCATAGGTGAGTGATACTGGATTAGGGGAGAGTGATACTAGATTAGTCCATTGTTGAGTTTATAACTGGGTGTGATGTTGGGAAGTGAAGCCTGGTGGGAAGAAGTGAAGCCTGGTGGGAAGAGGTCGGTCACTGTGGGCAAGGCCTGGAAGAGCATAAATATACATCCTTCCTTCTCCCTTGATGTTGCTCTGCTTCCTGCCTGCCATGAACTGTTTCTCCTCTGCCACTCCTACCCCTGGAACTAGTTGATTATGGACTGAAACCTCTACAAACTGAGTCAAAATAAATTTTTTTTTCCTTTAAATAGTGGGTGTTGGCTATTTTGTCTCAGTGATGACAAAGCAACTAAGACAGTATACAAACATGGTAAAAGGAAGATTATGGCTCGCTATAATCCCAAGAAAATATCCCCAGAATAGGTGCCATGGTAAATACAAAGAACTTTGCTCTGAAGGAGATAATATAAACTTGCATAAAGCAAAATAACCCAATGTTACAGAACTCAACAAAACAGATGATCCTCAGAATGGCTGTGGTAAGTAGATATTTCATAGAAAGTCAACTGAGAATAAAGGAGGGAGCACGCCAGGGAATAATCAAGAATAAGGAAGCCAGGCGTGGTTGTACACACCAGTAATCCCAGCATTTGTAAACTGAGGTAGGAGGACTGCAGTGAGTTACAGGCCAGCCTGGGCTACATAGGGAGTTCAAAGCCAGCCTAAACTATAGAAAGAATAAGACCATGTCTCAAAAACAAACAAACAAACAAGAACAAAATAAAAACGAAAAAACAACAAAAAAGAATAAGGAAAAGCCACTTTAGATAGAGAAACTATCCCTTGAAAATTAATCATTTTGGGGGCTTTTCTTCCAGCAACAGAGTCTACATAGGCTGAGAATACAGGTACCAACCTCACATAAAATGAAACTTCTATACCTACAGAGTACAAGCCTATGAGAAAAAGTCCCCAATGGGAAGAGGGGCAGGAGTGATGGTGAACCATTCAGGGGAGTTACTGCTTTAGTGAATAAGGGAAACATGTACTACTGAAGTAGGGGAAGAACAAAGGGACCAAGAAAAGCCTTTAGAGAGAAGTGTGTTTGCAGTTTTATATGAGGCTAATGATGAGTAAGAGCTCAATGCACAGGATGACATTGGAAATTTGGAACTCACAAGAAAAGAAAGCCTGGAGCATATTGAGAATGTGTAAGGACAGAATAGGGTCAGAGAGTCTATAAGACATTTGGGGAGCCTATGAAAAATGGGACAGGAAAGGACAGATAAGACATGGTGTTATGGATTTTAAATGTCTCCCAAAATCCATATGCTAAAGGCTTGGTTGTTATCTTGTGGTACAACTGGGAGGTGGTAGAACTTTTAAGAGGTCAGTCCTACTGCAAGGAAGTTAGGTTACTGGGGAGGTGTCCTAGAAGGGGATACTGGGAATCCAACCCCTTTCTGTCTCTCTCTGCCTCCCAGCAGCCATGAAGCAACCAGTTTTGTTCCACTACCATGCTATGTACCACGGTGTGCTGTCCTGCCACAGGCCCAAATGCTACAGAGCCAGCCAATTATGGACTGAAACTTCTGGAAATAAACTCTTCTCCCTGGTAAGTTGTTTGTCTCAGGTGCTTTTTCTCAGTGATAAAAATCTGACTAGCACAAATAGGTTTAAGAAATACCTAAAATATTTTCCAATTTAGTCCTTTATAAATTAGGGGCAAATTTAGGCCCCATTAGGGTAATCATGAGTTTAGCACAGAATAAGTGCTCAACACTGTTCCCAGAAGAGTACTGAGGAAAAGGTTTGCTGAGGCCTGGTCTAAAGCAAAGTGAGTGGAAAAGGGCAGAAGGTAGAATATTAGGAAGCCATGATATATGGTGCCAGATCAAGAGAACTTCATGAGGTCTAGAAACGTAGGACAATGAATTATCTCATGCTGGTGCTTCACATTTATAATAACTAGTACTCTGAAACAGACTGAGTTTAATGGATATTAGGGTAAAAGTGTTTGGAATCCTAAACAATGTTTAACTTGTTTTATAGATGCAAAGTAGGTCAAAAGTGAAAATATCAAATAGTTAGAAATGAAGAAATGGACCTTGGGAAAACTCAGCCTTGAAATCAGAGGATTTACTGTGAAAAAGTAAAACAATGAGGTTCTGAGAGTGGTTAAGGTACTCGGAAAGGAAGTAAAAATGGACAAGAATGGTTACAGGAAGAAGAGTAATGATTTAGAGTAGCCAAAAAGAAAAAAGAAAATAGGCAATAACAATATAACACAACTTGGAGAGAATAATTTCAAAAGTGAGCATAGCTCAGTGGTAGACTGCTTGCTCAGTATGCTCAAGATGAACACATTAGTGGTTAGGACATTAATGATTAACATCACAGCAGCGGCTGTAGCTACAGGTGGGGATGATTTCTGAATTACAAAGGGTAAAATAGGAATATTTTTCTTACAAACATTGATGGTATAAAAGGAAGACAAGCAAAAAATATAAAGTAAAGACAAATTCCTTTATTCTAAAAAACACCTCAAAAAGTTTGTAGGCAGAAGCAATGTGGTAGAGTGAAATCAAATTAAGGTCCACAATACCTAAATACTGTTACAGAGGAAATGCAGGAGAGGGAAAACAGAGCCAACTTTATAAAAGTGGGATATGTCTATTTTCTGATGTTAATGACTGGTTTAAGGGGGAAAAAAAACCTAAGTAAAAGAAAAACACTTGGGAAAAACAAAGACAATGGCCTCTTAGTAATATGCAGGCAAGGTTAAGAACTGAGAGACTACAATAAAAACTTGAATGTCATAAAAGACATGTTAAAACACATGTATTTTTTTAAAGGATCAAATTAAAGTTAAATAGTGTGAATTCAGAGCTGACTGAATCAAGCATTTTTCTACTCTAGAAATGATCACAGATAAAAATTGATGAGAATCAAAGATAGCAAGGAGAAGCATTAATGATGATGCAATGAATTCTAGGACAAAAACATAGCAGCATTCCAAACAGATGACCCTGAGGCAGGAGGAAGTTGAATGTATGGTGCTGCTGGAATGGAAAGAAGATTAAGACCCTAAAAGATGTATGTAATGTAAATTTAAAATAAGTACTGCATTTAATAAGGTAAAATGGGATAGTGGTAAGATAAGGAATACATTAACTTAGAGGTAGATGAGAAGTACTAGCACTAAAAATGCTAAAGTACCATGAGGTCAGGCTGATCATTAAGGGGTAAAAAAAACTGTTACGAGTCAGGTCTTGAAGGCATCTAAAAATATGAACAAATCCTTCACAATGGTAACATACTATGACAAGAAAATAACACAGAGGTCTTGTTACGATGTTCAAGAAAGCTACTTTTCTGCTTATATCTTAATCCTAACTGTAAATAAGTAAATTTATCTTAAGTTGCATAATCAACTCATCCAATTTATATAGAAACACTTTTTGGCTATTTATGAAAATCCATCTTGAAGGAATAAATCTCTTCTAATGAAGTCCCAGTGAAATTAATTCAGGTTTTTTTCCCTTTGGATTTTTTGAGAAAGGGTCTCACCATGTATGTAGTTTAGGGTGGCCCTTAACTATGTAGCTCAGAGTGGCCTCAAACTCAAGGCAATCCTCCTGCCTCAGCCTCCAGAGTGCTAGGATTACAGGCATGCACCACTGTGCCTAGGTGTAATACAGGTTCTTAAGTCTTTCTTTAGCACAGAATATACAGTAGGTACACAAATAATATAAGCTGAATGAATGTATGAAAAAATTTCCAACAGCAGTATCTGACTGGAATATCCCTAGTCTCTCATTTCACATTTAATTGAATGAACACAAAGACGATGGCTGGAGAAAAGAATGTACAGACAGATGAGAGGAAGAGAGTTGAGGAAGGGGAGGAAAAATAATGTTCTTAGCATCATGACAAAACCTAAAGCCTCTGAAAGTGATCATTTTGAAGAGAACAACTCATGGTTACGTATTAATTTGGTAAATATATTGAAAAAATTAAAAATTCTACTTGAAAACTACTTTACTTAAAAATACAATTTCCACAGAAAAACACATTTTCCTATAAATCTTTTCTAATTTCATTTGTCTAATAATTCTAACTTTTATCTCAGTATTTACATTGAAAAATAGTAAAAGGAATATTCTAGAAGTTCCATTTTATTGGAATTTTTTACCTCATTGATGAGATAATCTTACTGAGCCACATCTGTTTTAAAAAATTTAACTTCCTAAATGACATTTGCTGGTGAGTCTTCGAGAATAAACCTAAGCTCTTGCACATGCTAAGCAAGTACTCTACCATTGAGCTGAAAGGCAATTTTGATGGGCATTCACATGCTTAACTTACCTCATCATATGATTTACAAAGGCTTTGTTACAGTTAGTGCTGTATTTGCAAAAATTACAGTTGATAAGTACAGAAAAGTGGTTTGCAAAATCTTTTATTTTGGTACGACACTCAATACACTTGTAAGTTCCCCGAAGACACCTTATGGAGACAAAAAAGTGATAAAATATACAGTTAGGACGAAAATAATAAAGGAAAAACTTATTAATGATTTATGAATTAAAGACAAGATATTTAAATTGCTATGTCTTGTTAGTAAGAATTGCCTCCTCAGTATTCTATAGCCATGATGAGGAGGAGGCCAAGGAGAGAAAACAAAGAGACCGAGAAAAAGCAGCTGCTTTTGCTGCACCACTAAGAGAAACAGATCCCAAGTCTGATTCCCGGGGCCCCAAGAAGAACTCGACAACTGCATTCATCTGCTACCACTGTTAAAAGCCAGGCCACCTCAAGAGGAACTGCCCTAAGAGGCCCCATGGGCCATGCCCTGGATGGAAAGGAGACCACTGGAGATCGGTCTGCCCTCTGAGGTGGAGGCCCCAGAGCTCAGACCCATGCTACCAGTTAGTCCAACAGGAATGAGAGGGCTTGGGGCATACTCTGCCTTCTTCCTCTGGCCAGACTGTCATCTCCATCCAGGAGTCCTGGGTAATCTTGACTATGGAGGAACAAGAAAACAGCCTGTTGCTAGACACAGGTGCAAGTCTCTCGGTCCTTCTTTTCAATCCTGACCTTCCTTCCAGCCGTCATACCTCAGTGAAAGGAGTCACTGGTGAGGAGGTAATATGCTATTTTTGACAACCCTTAGGCTGTAACTACTTGTTAGATCCTTCTTGCATATCTCTGTCTTCCTGAGAAACCACTTTGAAGATACCACCATGTATTACAGCAGCCATTGATATTTTCCTACTAATCTATCCATAACTGTGTAAAGTTTGTAATGTTCCTATCCTATTTCATAAATGGATGTATGTTTATTATTATGTGTTTCCTACAACAACCATTGAGAATAATGATTTTTCAATAGGTCACTTATGTATAGCTCTATTTATTTTCTTTAGAAGCCACTTTGAAGATACCAAAGTATAGTACAACAACTCTTGATAATCTTCTACCTCTTTTGTCTCTAACTCACTATTATTTGTCTATTTGTTTTCCTGAGAAACTATTTTGTAGATAACAATATGTAAAACAATAACTATTGATAATTTCCTACCATTTTGTCTGTAATTTGGTAAGTCCCCACTATTATTATGTTATCCTTCTTTTACTCTTTAAAATTAAAAAAAAAAAATTACTATCTCTTCTTTTGTCTTTTTGAGATAGGGTCTTGCTATGCAGTTCAGCCTGGCCTTGAGCTCACGTTGTAGCCTAGGCTGGTCTCAAATTTACAGTGATCCTCCTGCCTCAGCTTCCCAATAAATTATTATCCTTAAACAGACACTTATGCTGGGCGAGGTGGCACATGCCTGTAATCTCAGCACTCAGGAGGCTGAGGCAGGAGGATCACTGTTAGCTCGAGGCCAGCCTGGACTACAAAGAGAGTTTAAGGCCAGACTGAACTACATAGCGAGACCCTGTCTCAAAATGACCAAAAAAAAAAAAGGAGAGAGAAAAAAATTGCTTTGTAACAATAAGCTAGAGCAAGTATAAAAAGTTAAATACCAGTTAGTATTTCCATGCAATAAAATGATCAAATTAGCCAATTCAACTATCTAAGATAAAGGCACGAAATACAAGATACAGTGTATAAGATTCAAGTTCTGCTAAGCAGATATAAAAGGTACCTTTCAATCATTTGCTTGGCCTTTATGCCACATAAGTGTTTATCATGTAAATGTACCAAAAGGTTCTATGATATGGTATATTATAAGAAAATAAAATCTTAAGATTAAATTAGTATTGTATATCAGGAATAAAAGTGTACCTGAAGTTCTTCAAAGCCACACTGAGTTTACTTTTTCTGTTGCGCTGTCTCTTATGCTTACAAGAGACTTTTGCTTTGTTTTTAGCTGTACCTCCACTCGATTTACTTGTATTGGGTTTATTTGCAGTGGACCCAGATGCTTCAAACTTAGCTGTCTTATATTTTGTGAGATTTTTGGCAGTTGTAGTTTTGGATTCGGGAGGTAAGACTTCAAGAGAAGAAGAGCTTGGAGCAGAACTGGAAGGTGTACTTGGTTGTTTTGACTGAGGTGGTCCAAATGATGCTCGAATAGTAACCTATGAAAAAAACAATACATACATTTAAAAAATGATTATCAGTGGCCAGGCATAGTGGCATGTGCCTGCTGTAATCCCAGCATTCAGGAAGTTGAGGCGGGAGGATTGCTGTGAGTTCAAGGTCAGCCTGGGCTACAAAGTGAGTTCAAGTCAGCCTGAACCGCATAGCGAAACCTTATCTGAAAAAGATTACAAGCACAACAACAAAAGACAAATTATTACAGTCACATTAAAAATATCACCGGCAAGCCCTCACATTTATGATTAATTGGTTTTTGACAAGGATGCCAAGACAATTCTTTGGGGAAAGAACAGTACTATAAACAAATAGTGCTAGAAAAAATTGATATCCAGACCCAAACGAATTCAAACCCTTATTTCTTATTAATTAATTAATTATTTTTGAGACAGGGTTTCACTATGCAGTTCGGGCTGGCCTAGAACTCGCTTTGTACCCCAGGCTGGCCTCAAACTCGCAGTAATCCTCCTGCCTCAGATTCCCAAGTGCTGGGATTACAGGCGTGCGCCACCATGCCCAGCCCTATTTCATATTCAGATGTAAAAATTACCTTGAGACCAAATTTTAGAAATTAAAACTGTAAAACTCTTAGAATATGAAAGTGATCCGCATGACCACAGGTTAGGCAATGGTTTCTTAAATGTGTTATCCAAAGCTCAAGCCAACAAAATATGGTATACACAGTAAACAACAGTTACTACATGATCTAGCAATTCTACTCTTAGATATGTCTCCAAGAAAAATGAAAACAGAGGTCTACACAAATCTTGTACATGAATTTTTAATGGAAATATTATTCATGATAGCCAAAAAGGGCCAAAATTCAAATTCCACTAGCTGAGAAATGGATGAAATGTGAAATATCCATACAATGGAATATTCAGTCATAAAAGGACATGGGAACATGTTACAATGTGGACAAATCTAGGAAAAATGCTGAGTGAAAGAAACTCATACCTAAAGATCACATATCATTCTATTTATACAAAGTTTCCAGAACAAGAAACTCATATTGACCAAAGGTTGATTAAAGTTTGCATGCAGTGGTGTAGGGGAAATAGAGAGGACTGCTAATGGGTATGAAGTTTTTCTTGGGGATAAAAATGCTCCAAAATTTATTACGATGATGCTTGTACAACTCGGTGAATACGCTAACATACAACTATTGAACTACACACTTCAAACGGATGGTATATGAATTACATTCTCAAGCTGTTATATAAAGTCAATATAATGTAAAAATTTAAATATAATTTTGAAAAAAAAACAAGTATAAAGTACAATTAATTTTCATTCTACATGATTATAGCAATTAAACGAAATTTACATTGATATTTATTTATTATTTGTTTGTCTTTTTGAGACAGGGTTTCGCTATGCAGTTCAGGCTCTCCTTGAATTTACTTTGTAACCCAGGCTAGCTTCAAACTCTCAGTGATCTTTCTGCCTCAGCCTCCCAAGTGCAGGATTACAGGTGTGTGCTACCATGCCTGGCTCTTGATATTTATTTACTGTTATGGTTTTATATCAATAGCAGTTATATATTAACAGGTATTAGGAAGTAATTAGGAGATAGTACAAACTATATAAATATCAAAATACTATAATTCCATGGCTATTTTTATGTGCTGGCATAACTAAAAAGCTTTCACAAATATAAAAATCAAAATTCAGGGGCCAGGTAGATAGCTCAGCAGTAACTGCCTGGCAAGCATGAGGTCATGAGTCTGATTCCTGGTACAAAAAAAAAGTCAAAATTTAAGGGTTGAGGATATAGCTCAAAGGTAGAGTGTTTGTCTAGCATGTACAAGGCTCTGTGTTTGATGCCTAGCACTGAAAAGAATTTTTTTTAAAATCTCAAATCCTGAAATAACTCTGGAAAGGTCTGCAATAACAGATCTTTAGTAAATGTGGCCTTCTCTTTCTTTCCGTAAGCTTCCATGGGAAGATCGTGTTTCTAAAGGTTTGGTGACGGTTATATCAATTCACCATACAGCACAGAGATTTTAATGATATCCAGAATTTCCTTAACAGGAGATAATATGAATTTATCATTGAGTACTATTTGGGAAAAGAAAACCTTCAACCATGCTCACTCGTTAATGAGGGAAAAGAGTCACCTATTAACATTCTCTTCAGTCATGTAGGACTATTTCCCCTCATACACTTAAGGAGCAGGAAGTCCTATGAAATACATGTAATTTGATGTCACACAAATGCACTGGACTAGGAATCAAAAGACTGGAGGTTAAATTTCAGTGCTACTGCTTCCTAGGCTTGTGACCCTGAATAAAGAATTTATCTGATCTAGCCTTCTCATCTATACCAGGGGATAACATGTGGCTTGTCTATCTCATTGAATCACTGCATGCATTAAATATGTACGAAAAAGCATAATGAAAACTTAATTCTGAATGCTATATTATCATCATTATATCTGTATTACTAATAAGGGAAGATATGGGAGGATGCACTGCTTACATTAGTATTCTGCATGTCTAGTCCCAACACTGAATGAATAGACTTCAGGGTAAAATAGTGGCTACCATCTCTTGCTATTATGGTTTCTAGATATACCAAGGTCTCATGGTAGGGCTTTTGGGAGGTGGCTGGATCATGGGTATGTGATATTGGATTAGTTCACTGATAGGTTTAGAGCCAGATGTGATGTTGGGAGTTGAAGCAGGTGGAAAGAGGTGGGTCACTGTAGGTGTGGATGTACATATACATCCTTCCTTCTCCCTTGATGCTGATCTGTTTCCTGTCTGCCATGCCATGAACTATGTTTCCTCTGACACACCCCTCCAGATGCTGCCCTGCCTTGGAACCAGTTGATTTTGGACTCCAATCTCTACAAACTACGAGCTAAAATTAAGTTCTCCTTTAAATTGTGGGTGTCGGGTATTACATTTCAGTGATGAGAAATATAACTAAAGTACTTGAAGATACTTGCTCTAGATACCTGTAACATTGCTTTATGTTATTTTAGTTAATTCAAACAGCAGGTATATTCACATTTGAAGATATGTACTCAAAACCAAATGTGATTATTTCACTTTGGATTATCTATCCCTCCTCTGAATCAAATACCTGAGAGCTAACTTTAGATAAAGTAGTCCTAGGAAACATGTACATAAGGCAAACGAGAAGAAAATTTGTAGTCATATGCATGCTTGTTCACTAAAAATCAGCAGTGTTAATAACCAGGAGAACTTGTTTCTTGTAGAGTAGATTCAGCAATACCAGCTTCAATAAACCTGTGGTACTCAAGGCACCATGACAGATTCTTGGGACACAAAGAGAAGTTAAACATGATTCCTGATGTCAAAAATTTCATAGTCAAGTAGCTATAAGACTTTTATGTTGCCAAATGGAATAGCTCAAAAAAACTATCAGTCTACAAAATCCTAAAATAATCTGCTGACTCAGCCGACAATCAATCTAGCTATACTCTCTATAAAAGAATATCACTTCAACAAAGTACATATCAACTCAAAAAAGCAATGGTTAGGGCCAGGTGTGGTGGTGCATGCAAAAAATCCCAGCACTCTGGGAAGCTGAGGCAAGAGAATCATGAGTTCAAGGGACACTTAGTAAGACTATGTCTCAAAAATAAAAAGGAGAAAGGCCAGGCGTGGTGGCGCACACCTACAAACCCAGCACTCAGGAGGCTGAGGTACTAGGATTGCTGTGAGTTGTAGGCCACCCTGGGCTACAAAGTGAGTTCAAACCCAGCCCAAACTGCACAGTGAAACCCTGACTCAAAAAAGACAAATAAATAAAATAAAATAAACAGTAGGAGATAATGAGGACGACTATGCTGAAGACTAACTCTGAGCCAAATGTGGACCTGGAAAATCAGTATTGTAATTCCTAAGTGTTAAAACATGATGACCCAAAAGCAACTTTAAGCAGCTTCCAAAAGGGTTTGGAACTTGAAGGTAAAAAAGGAAAATGGGGACTTAAAGCACTGAAACAAATGATTAAGATTAATTTCAAGATACTAGGCATACTAGCTCATGCCTGTAATCCCAGCATCAGGAAGCTGAGGCAGTAGGATCACTACAGTGAGTTCAAGGCCAGCCTGGGATACATAGTGAGTTCAAAGCCAACCTGTATTGTATAGTGAGACCCTATCTCAAAAAGATTAATTTGAAACTGACAAACTTTCCAGAAATGACAAATAAACAACTTCTGACCTATATTTGGAGTGCAATCACAAGAAATTATCCTACAAAATCCACCAATTCTATTCTTGATTATATTTCCACTTCTAAAAAGAATTCTTATTTTTTTATGTCACAGATTTAATGCAGTAATTCTACGAAACAACACTGCAAGCTTTGGAAGATGCTAAGAATGATAAGCTGTGGTTTAAGACAAACAGAAATCTTAGAAAATTATATTCCAAACAAGATTAAGGAAAAATTAAAAAAATATTATGTCAGTTACATCAGTCTTATCAGACTGATAATGAAGAAGAAAAAGGCAGTTATTAGAAAAATATGCCTTGGAGGATGGTGGAGAGGTAAGCGGCAGAGAAAGAGCCTCTCTGATTGTTGTTCTCTAGACACAGGAGTATAGCAACTTGAGGAAGACAAATAGGAGAGCAGTGGGTCCTTTGGACCCAGGAAAGATCTGAAGCAATAATTGAAGCGCACAGGGAGAGTGAAGAGAGAACCTTTAACAAAGAAGGAAGCCAGCATAGCCTTCTCCTTGAGTTGGGACTCACTGCATGGGAGGAGTGGTTTGGGCCTGTAGACATTATGTGACTGATGGTGGTGCTGGAGGTGTCCACAAAGAGATGCAGCAGTAGAGGAGAGGTGGACGTGGACTGCACTGGATAGGGGTGAGTGCTGGGGGCTCAGTCATCCCACGGGAGAGCTACTGTCTGGCAGCCATCTTGGAGAGAGGCCAACTGAGCTCAGAACTCAGAACAACTGCTGGGTCCACCTAGCAGCTCCCAGCTGAGTTCTAGCCT